TCTTTTTGGTTCTGTGTATCAGATAGGGCCTCTATAAACAGATTAAATGATGCTTAAGGTCAAATGTACTTGGAATGAAGACTTAATCAGATTTCAAATATCCTTCTTCTACAACAGGATACTGTATCTATCAAAGAAAAACCATTTAACACCAAAATAACCAACTTCCTGTTTCACAGATCTTGTATCTTTAATAGTTCCATGAAGGCAATAGGTATTCTGTAGAACTTACAGGAGAGGCAAATTACTTAAATGTTGAATAATATTATCACCACCTCAGACCGAATTAACAAAAACTTTATCATTAACAACTCCAATGGTAGGATTTTAGTACCACACTTAATCATTTCCTGAAATACAAACAGTTAGATCGTAAAATTTTATTATCAGGACAAATTTTCTTCTGTGTTGTTATAGATGAAATTTCCAGACAGGTTTTACGGTGGAAAACCTCATCAGTGAAGAAAGATCATTTAACTGTTAAATACCGGTAATGTACTTACTTTGGTTAATCAATTTAAGCTTATTATCACTTTTTGGTAAATAATAAAGCCGCTGATGAATGAACACCAAAATAATTACCAGAAACAAACGAAAAGTGTAATTAGCACAGTAACATTTCAACGAAAAAATACTGTCAACGTAAAACGAGCAAAAATAAGATTACTGATTACTGATAAAATATGTATTTCCAGATTAAATCTTCAACATGACATAATTGGTTGTTGATTATGATAAAGAAAGGCACACAATTTAAAGCCATACATCACTAAGATTTCAATATTGATTCTTATATTCCCTAGTACATGTTTTTCATGTCTAAATTCACCTCGATTTTCCCAGCAATTAAGATTAAAACACGTTTTCTCATTATCAAAGTTTGAAAACATGTCACATAATGATATATTATTAACAAAAACATTCTCGTTTTTCATTTCTACTGGAACATGATAAAATGATGCCAATTGATCTCCAATTTTCAACAAATTATACACCAGTATAATCCACATGACTCCCTCTACTTTACAGAAACTCGTTTATTACCGGTGATAAGACTGTCATTTTATTCAGTATCTTCAGTAAATTATATAAATATAACATTTTTTATATTCAAATTATCTCTAACATCGGAAGATGATTATAAAATAACATCCTACATCCCTTGATGATTTCTAAAAATATACATAAAAACATTACCTTGGTTATCACATGTATCACCAAGGTGACCAGAAAATGTAATGAAAAGTACGCTTTCAGCGATATTTGTAAAAACAAAAATAATTTTTATTTCCATTTCATAAACGGTTATGAAAAACCTACCAAACACTTTTCATTTGAGTTTGCTAAAAGCTCAATGAAATAAAACTTTCTTTGACTCACTTTATTAATGGAAAAAAGGTATCATCTTCTGGTTTCTTGTTGGTAATGCAAATTCCTAAATAAACCTGACCACCCTGTGATATAACTGTGGGTACGTGTACAAGATGATAAGATCTTTATCTCTCTATCTGGCTGACACAGGCTTTCACCACAGGAATATGAATGTATTTACCATAAAATGGACAGATAATGCACATGCAAATATGTGCAACACCAAGGTACATTTAACACAGTGTGTAGCTGGCTTATGCAACAAGATGGTCTCTAATATTTACTTTAAATAAACAAGATCAAGACTTTACTAAGATCTAACATACATTTTTTTTCCTCAGAAGAACATTTGTACATGTATATTGCCTGGGCAGGGATCCTGCATATTGAATCCTCTAAATGTTTGACCTGTGAGATCTCACAGGCACTAACTAGTATGATTTACCAGAGATAGAATCTGCTGTTAAACACTCAAAAACTTTTAACAGGTTCCACAGAAGGGAGTTTTCATTTATTTTCATCATAAGTGATCAAATCTTCTTTTAACTTCTAAATTATTATACTACAGAATGAAGAGACTGCAACAAAATCGTGTTCAGATAACATAATAAAGTTTGTCCTCACAATCAAATTCATTTTGACCATGCCACTGTAGGAGTTGAGTGAGAATTCAGACATAACCTAATGTTAAACATATAAGTCATTTGTAGCAACAATGAACCTGTGTTGTCTACGTAGAACAGCTGTTGAATCCCCCCACGTAGCAACAGTTATGACAAACATCAAGATTGTGTGTATACTACAGACTTGCAAAGGAAAATCGCATCAATTTACTTGTTATGATGATAAAAACCAGCTTTAATGGAAGCAGACATCTTGTCCTGATCAACGGTTTTTGTTGAAAGTGTGAGTAATCCTATAATAACCTAAAGGTTAAGGTCACATGAGACGCTTTTATCCCGTGACATCATGATGACAACGTAGGAATGCCATTTTTGACTGCTCTGGAGGCGACTTATATTACTCTAGAAAAGTTTGTGTTTCATGTTTTAATTAGGTCTAACAAATTTTTGAATCTTTTTTTAACGGATTGACAGTATTTCTGAATGAGAAAACTATGCAGCATTTTTACTCTTTTCGAAAAAAATGTATATCTTAATAAAATAATGTGACAACCTCTTACATCATAATATACAATGTACTGAGTAAAAAGTTACTAGTAGAAGTGAGATTCTTGTCCTCTATATGTGATATTAGGTGACATAAAACAGTATGTACAATTCAATAAATAATAAACTTTATTCATTATACACCAATTGTGAAACAAGTAATTCCAAATTGTATTAATCACTCTTGTCGACCCAGATGAAAGCATGCGAGCGGTCTTAGTGTGGAAGGAAACCAGAGTACCTAGAGAAAACCCATGTGGTCAGACAGGTGACCCCATACCTTTTCACATCCATTCCAGGAATCGAACCCCGGACGGCTTGGTGAAAGGCAAGTATGTTACCATTGCACTATCCGACCATCCTAATGTACAATTTACTAATGCTCAGCATGTATGATAGGGAAAGATTAAAATTTTCAATGTCTTGAGAAAATCAAAGAGTTTGAAAATAAAACATGCCTTTGCATACTGAATCAAATAGAACATGGAGGTTCAAGATATATCAATATTTGAGGAAGCAGGGAGTCACTATCTAGAAAGGGTATCAGAAAATACAACATGACACGATAACAAAAATCAAGACAATCCAGCAAATAAGTCCCCCAAAAAAACCCCAAGTTTGAAGTTTCAGTGACTAGATGTTTCGGAAGGTCAGACCCAAATCCACAAATAAAGTAAAGACATGCTGAATCTGAAATTACACTCCACAAATAACATAGACACACTGTAGGTCAGACATCACTCCACAAATAATGTATAGACACACTGTAGGTCAGACATCACTCCACAAATAATGTATAGACACACTGTAGGTCAGACACCACTCCACAAATAATGTACAGACACACTGTAGGTCAGACATCACTCCACAAATAATGTACAGACACTGTAGGTTAGACATCACTCCACAAATAATGTACAGACACACTGTAGGTCAGACATCACTCCACAAATAACATAGACACACTGTAGGTCAGACATCACTCCACAAATAACATAGACACACTATAGGTAAGACACCACTCCACAAATAATGTACATACACACTGTAGGTCAGACATCACTCCACAAATAATGTATAGACACACTGTAGGTCAGACACCACTCCACAAATAATGTATAGACACACTGTAGGTCAGACATCCCTCCACAAATAATATACAGACACTGTAGGTCAGACACCACTCCACAAATAATGCACAGACACTGTAGGTCAGACATCACTCCACAAATAATGTACAGACACACTGTAGGTCAGACATCACTCCACAAATAATGTATAGACACACTGTAGGTCAGACACCACTCCACAAATAATGTACAGACACTGTAGGTCAGACATCACTCCACAAATAATGTACAGACACACTGTAGGTCAGACATCACTCCACAAATAATGTATAGACACACTGTAGGTCAGACACCACTCCACAAATAATGTACAGACACACTGTACGTCAGACACCACTCCACAAATAATGTATAGACACTGTAGGTCAGACACCACTCCACAAATAATGTATAGACACTGTAGGTCAGACGCCACTCCACAAATAATGTAGACACTGTAGGTCAGACATCACTCCACAAATAATGTACAGACACTGTAGGTCAGACACCACTCCACAAATAATGTATAGACACTGTAGGACAGACATCACTCCACAAATAATGTACATACACACTGTAGGTCAGACACCTCTCCACAAATAATGTACAGACACACTGTAGGTCAGACACCACTCCACAAATAAGGTACAATAATGTATTATATTATACTGTACTTTACTCCATTAAAAATCAACAATTGCGATCTAACCAGACTAAAGGAAATTTTAAATGTTTAGTCTGGTAACATTACAACCACAGAAGCCATATACCTGGCACAGGGTTTAAAAGCACAATTAAATTGGTGGGGGGGGGGAGTTGTGTCAGGTTTGTATATATACAGGTATACCCCCTCCCTTTCACCATCAGCACATCAACATACATAGAACAACCTAGTTACTGGTCTCTTATTTAAAATTACATTGATTCACTTATCAATATAACATGTGACCCATTAATTGCGATAAATATTAATGACCTGCGGATTTTCCCCCAAAATAGTGAAAGCCAATCAAGCGTGTACGCATTAGTGTAATACGTATACACTGACATTATCCCCCACATGGCGGTCGTTCAACCTAGCCGAGAAACTGTTGACATATTTTGTCATGCTGTTGGAAAAATGAATTAAAACTTAGTGAACGATGTAATAAGTTTAAACATTCATGTATTTGACGGTTACATATCTGTTGGTGTAACCCTGACGCCGTATGAATGCCAGGTACTGTATATCTGTATACATTCTTGTTGATAGCCCCCGCGCTGTGTTTACACATGTGTAATTGCCAAACTGTTGAAAACCAATGTCGCGACGTGACATTAGTCTGGGAAGATACTTTGTCTAAATACAAACCTGATTTGTGGTGTGTTTAAAGTGAACGTTGCCACCTTTTTCAGCAAGCTATCTCTCTCCCCTTTTAAACTGACAAGCTCCTCTTCTAATCGTTCTATTTTCTCCGCTTGGAGAAATACCGTTTTCTCCTTGTCTTGTAGTAACCTCCACAACTCGTCCACCGACGTAGTTTTTCCAGAATCACTATCGACGATATAATCCCCCATTTTGTGCACCATCCCTCCACACAAACCTGTTGTAATATCCACAAAGAATACCACTACATTGTAGCTACCAAAAATCGTCAGCCATATTCAACGAAGCGGACTGCCACAATCAATGTGGGCACAGCGATCGTGAGGTACGCTGTATACACTCTCCAATAGCTAAGTATGTAAACACGACATAAGACTTATCATACACCTTCCAAGAAATGTATCTACTGTCTGATGGCCAGCCTTTCACTCTTTTTCAGCTGTCAATTCTACTGCACGGCGGATTGAAAGTTTACGTACTTTTGACTATTCAGTGCGGAAGTACGGTGGTGTGACGTCACGACAGGTAGAGGGGTCACTTCAGGTAGATGTGCCGAAATGCAGTTACTCATCGTACTAAATATAGTTACTTGACACATTCGGTATTAGGGTCCGTCTGCAATTGTACTTCAGGGAAAAATGATTGAAAACCACCAATTACACAACATTCGTCGTTTTTCTTTTTAAAAAAACTGATGTCACCATAAAAAAATATTACCAGGATCATCACGCAGATCCTAATTATAGACTTTAGCTACTCACAGTGATATCATTACAAAAATTAGCAGGTGAAATAACTAAATAAAGAACTTTAGATAACTAGGTACATTGTTTCAATATTTTATCTGATAATGTGCAATTCAATTTCAAATTGTCCTTTCAGTTTTTGATAAAATTTGAAATAGTAAATGAACTTTATATTTATACATACGTTGCTGCCAGGAAAACAAACTCCGATCTCCTGCTCTTTAATATTTAACATTATTAAGTATGAATTTTATATCTTATACAGCGCTCACAGAGAAAAGAACTGTATTCCAAGGCGCTTTACAATACATCAATCAATACAGCTTGAGGGTTTTGTTTGGGCTGGCTTATCAGTATATCTGTAGATGTGCTCGGTCTAATATCGCTACACGCGCACATGTCAAACGTGCGTACGTGATGTATACCGAGTTCTGCTGTAAACTTTATTTATTTTACAACAAAAGAGAAGCTAGCTCTATCGACTTAGTTTATTCACTCTTGTTGACCAGGTTAGAATTTCAGTACAGGTAAATGAATACACTGAACGTAGAAAATAATACTGATTGTGTTGTGTAGGTCTTCCAAGTACAAACAAGCGTTCGGGCATGTGACTCCATACCCTTTTTCACGGAAATCGAACCCTTTTACTTTTAAGATATCCGTTCGGAATACCCATGTTTAGAACGTGTGTTTTCTTCGTTGTGACACATCAGCTGGACGTTGCCACAACCATAGAGATTATATAGGACCATGGTATGGCGGACATTCCATGGTGTGTAATCCTTCCTTTTAAACCCTTCACTATTTACTTGCAAATGGCCGAGAGGCTGTAATAGAGAATACCTATCAAATAAACAATAAATAATAGAGTGAAATTAGCCGTAAGTTAGTAACTTGTACTATATCCAGCCCTGTTTACCTGATACATCATCCTTCCGCTTACCGGAAAGATGACCCAAATCTGTGTGACCTATCGATATCCTGATGTAACAT